GAGGGTAGCCCCAAGGGTATGGCCTCCAACTTTGGACAGACAGACAGACAGAAATTCTGTCTTATTGGTAAAGATATATGTGTTAGGATTGTTTAACTTTGGTTTATGTCCGTTTTTCCTTGTTCTCTACAACGTTATTAATACAAAACATGAACATATTTTGGTAGCAAATGTGTATTTTTACGCGGTCGACCTCACAGTTGCTGTACGTTATATGATGTGACGAGGACGGTTTGATATATTTTGTTCCACTCTAAATGTTGTAAATATGCGCACTGAAAATTGTATATGGAATTAACAAAAGTGCAAGCGTATTTTTATCAATTGTTAATAAGTTCCCTGTGTGTATGTGTGTGAGTGTGGGTGTGTGTGTGTGTGTGTGTGTGTACTCACCTAGTTGTGCTTGCGGGAGTTGAGCTTTGGATCCTTGGTTCCGCCTCTCAACCATCAATCAACTGATGTACAGATTCCTGAGCCTACTGGGCTCTATCATATCTACATTTGAAACTGTGTATGGAGTCAGCCTCCACCACATCACTTCCTAGTGCATTCTATTTAATAACCACTCTGACACTGAAAAAGTTCTTTCTAATGTCTCTGTGGCTCATTTGGGTACTCAGCTCCCACCTGTGTCCCCTTGTGCATGTACCACCCAAGTAAAATAATCCATACTTGTCTACCCTGTCAATTCCCCTGAGAATTCTGTATGTGGTGATGATGTCTGCCCTAGCTCTTCTATCTTCCAGCGAAGTGAGGAAGTTGTATGTAGTATGTCCTCGTAACTCATGCCTCTTAGTTCCGGGACTAGCCTAGTGGCATACCTCTGAACTTTTTCCAGGTTTGTCTTGTGCTTGACCTGATACGGGCTCCATTCAGGGGCTGCATACTCCAGGATTGGCCTTACGTATGTGGTATACAAGGTTCTGAAGTTATTTTGATGTGGGCTTCGGGAGACAGATTTGGTGTGATATCAACTCCTAGATCTATCTCTTTGTCCATTTCGTGAAGGACTTCATCTCCCATTCGGTATCCAGTGACTGGCCTCCTAGTACCTCCTCCTAGTTTTATTTCCTTGCATTTATTTGGGTTGAACATTAGTAGCCATTTGTCGGATCATTCCTTCAGTATGTCAAGGTCATTTTGTAGCCTCATACTATCCTCCTCTGTCTTGATCCTCCTCATTATTTTTGCATCATCAGCAAACATCGAGAGGAACGAGTCAATTCCTTCTGGAAGATCATTTAAGTATATCAGAAACAATATAGGTCCAAAGACTGATCCCTGTGGGACTCCACTGGTGACTCCACTGGTGACTCCCCGCCACTTCGAGACCTCACCCCTCACGGTGACTCGCTGCGTCCTGTTTCTTAGGTACTCCCTTATCCAGTAGAGTACGTTCCCTTTCACTCCTGTCTGCGTCTCCAGTTTGTGCACTAGTCTCTTATGTGGTAATGTGTCATAATTTTGACATCGTCCGCAAACATTGAGAGAGAGTGTGTGTGTGTGTGTGTGTGTGTGTGTGCGTGTGCGCGTGTGTGCGCGTGTGTGCGTGTGCGCGTGTGTGCGTGTGTGCGTGTGTGCGTGTGTGCGTGTGTGCGTGTGTGCGTGCGTGTGTGCGTGTGTGCGTGTGCGCGTGTGTGTGCGTGTGTGCGTGTGCGCGTGTGTGTGCGTGTGTGCGTGTGCGCGTGTGCGTGTGTGCGTGTGTGCGTGTGTAAGTGTGTAAGTGTGTGTGTGCAACTTTTCTAAAACAAATTGTAAAATATGTTTGACGGAAAATTGTAATGCGTCAATACGTATTACGTAATGACGCAACAGTTGCGTACGCGGCATTTAAAGCCAAAACTAGGTACACAAATGTTTGTTTTTTCGAAGAACCCCCTACCCCACCCCAATTATTTTGGAGTAAGTATAACTAATGTTATACATTAGATTCTTATTAATCGCTCATATTTATCTAATCTTAGAGTCATTAATCTCTCCACGAATCCTCAAGGCCCAGATCTTTGCCTTGGGCGTGCCTGCCTGTCTTGAAATTGGTAAGATTCTCAGTTACAGAACTGAGAATAATTTTAACTTACATGGTTTAACCGTGTCCTACCAAATTGTTGACTGTGAAGATGGCATACACGTGGGTACAGAGGAGGGGGCACCGGCGTCGTGGGCACCACCTTCACTCTGCGTCATGGCGGCAGAAACACACGGGAGCGAGTACTGGCGTCGTGGGCACCACCTTCACTCTGCGTCATGGTGGTAGAAACACACAGAAGCGAGTACTGGCGTCGTGGGCACCACCTTCACTCTGGGTCATGGTGGTAGAAACACACAGGAGCGAGTACTGACGTCGTGGGCACCACCTTCACTCTGGGTCATGGCGGCAGAAACACACAGGAGCGAGTACTGGCGTCGTGGGCACCACCTTCACTCTGCGTCATGGCGGCAGAAACACACAGTAGCGAGTACTGGCGTCGTGGGCACCACCTTCACTCTGGGTCATGGCGGCAGAAACACACAGGAGCGAGTACTGGCGTCGTGGGCACCACCTTCACTCAGGGTCATGGCGGCAGAAACACACAGAAGCGAGTACTGGCGTCCTGGGCACCACCTTCACTCAGGGTCATGGTGGTATAAACACACAGGAGTGGGCCCGTCCATTTGATTCGCCAATACATACAAAATTCAAAGTCCTGTCCTAACAAGAGACGCACAAACCCAAGTAACCCACCTTACCTAACCAATAGATACATAGAAAATTTGGATAATTGTGAGCCAGTGTTTTTCATAATACTTTTTAGATTGTACTTTGGGGACTATAACGTACAAAATAAGATATATTATTTGAGAGGACGGGTTGAAGACAGGATCATCACTGTGCGTCTGTACAACCCGTCATCTCGAATAGTTCATTGTATTTTGACGTACAAATGCCCAACGGGCAAAATTTGATGTACTACAAATTATAGTGGTTCGGAAAATTGACAGATATCCCGTTTTCCAATTCGTGGGTTAAATTAGGCTCGGGCAATCCTTTTAGTGACGATTTGAAAACACCAGATGACGGGCTGGATACAACACGACCAATGTTTTGACCGGAAAAAAAGGTATTATTTTGCCTTACCAGAAACTTTCGACCCAAAGAGCCTGTATATATATATGGCCAGAAAAAGTCAATATTATTAAACCTTCAGTAGTATTAAAACATCGCATGGTGTTGACAACCTGGTGGTACAATGTTCTGGTACAATGCGACGCATTAGAGGCGAGCACGCACATCGCTGTGAGCTCCGTGTTAGTTTTTTTTTTTTTTTTTTTTGAGATATATACAAGAGTTGTTACATTCTTGTACAGCCACTAGTACGCGTAGCGTTTCGGGCAAGTCCTTAATCCTATGGTCCCTGGAATACGATCCCCCGCCGCGAAGAATCGTTTTTTCATCCAAGTACACATTTTACTGTTGCGTTAAACAGAGGCTACAGTTAAGGAATTGCGCCCAGTAAATCCTCCCCGGCCAGGATACGAACCCATGATATAGCGCTCGCGGAACGCCAGGCGAGTGTCTTACCACTACACCACGGAGACTGCAAAGTTAACAATATTCCTTCCACTCTCCATACAGAATAGTGGGAAGAAAAACAGCGTCTGACGTACACAAACAAGAACTCTACGGGGAGGAAATCGGCGGAGAGTCAGTAACGTGATTACTATTTGCTTCGTGGGTTTTCTTGCTGTAATATCTTGCATTTAAAATCCAGGCAAATATGAGTGTATATATGTATAAATATGTATGAGTGTATTGTATACATGCCGGAGCTGGTTTTGAGGACTTGCCACAGTTCCTTGTAAACAGAGATAAGGCCTATCAACTAAATATGTACAAACAGTAGAGGTGATACAGTTATGCTTATTGGAGCTGTTAAGAGGGTATCTTTTGCTTTTGTTGTAATGAGGTGCAGTCTTACAGGTCTTTTGTTGAAATAAGGTGGTCTCTTTGCGGCTATTTAGTTGTAATAAGGTGCCCTTTTACGGCTCTTTTGTTGTTATGAGGTGGCCTCTTGCGGCTCTTTTGTTGTTATGAGGTGCTCTCTTGCGGCTCTTTTGTTGTTATGAGGTGGCCTCTTGCGGCTCTTTTGTTGTTATGATGTGCTCTCTTGCGGCTCTTTTGTTGTTATGAGGTGCTCTCTTGCGGCTCTTTTGTTGTTATGATGTGCTCTCTTGCGGCTCTTTTGTTGTTATGATGTGCTCTCTTGCGGCTCTTTTGTTGTTATGAGGTGCTCTCTTGCGGCTCTTTTGTTGTTATGATGTGCTCTCTTGCGGCTCTTTTGTTGTTATGAGGTGCTCTCTTGCGGCTCTTTTGTTGTTATGATGTGCTCTCTTGCGGCTCTTTTGTTGTTATGAGGTGCTCTCTTGCGGCTCTTTTGTTGTTATGAGGTGCTCTCTTGCGGCTCTTTTGTTGTTATGAGGTGCTCTCTTGCGGCTCTTTTGTTGTTATGAGGTGCTCTCTTGCGGCTCTTTTGTTGTTATGAGGTGCTCTCTTGCGGCTCTTTTGTTGTTATGAGGTGCTCTCTTGCGGCTCTTTTGTTGTAACGAGGTGCTCTCTTGCGGCTCTTTTGTTGTAACGAGGTGCTCTCTTGCGGCTCTTTTGTTGTAATGAGGTGCTCTCTTGCGGCTCTTTTGTTGTTATGAGGTGGCCTCTTGCGGCTCTTTTATTATGAGGTGGCCTCTTGCGGCTCTTTTGTTGTTATGAGGTGGCCTCTTGCGGCTCTTTTGTTGTTATGAGGTGGTCTCTTGCGGCTCTTTTGTTGTTATGAGGTGGTCTCTTGCGGCTCTTTTGTTGTTATGAGGTGGCCTCTTGCGGCTCTTTTGTTGTTATGAGGTGGTCTCTTGCGGCTCTTTTGTTGTTATGAGGTGGTTTCTTGCGGCTCTTTTGTTGTTATGAGGTGGCCTCTTTTATGTCTATTGTTGTTGTTGGTAAAAGGCGCCAACTGGAACTTCTTTTGTTATTATTATTTAGATTTTCTCTCGTATGTGGCGTTTGTTATTGTAATACGCTGCCCTCTTGTGCCTTTTGTTGCTGTTGTTGTAATAAGGTGTCTTTTGGTGCTGTTGTTGTAATAAGGTGTCTTTTGGTGCTGTTGTTGTAATATGGTGTCTTTTGTTGCTGTTGTTGTAATATGGTGTCTTTTGTTGCTGTTGTTGTAATAAGGTGTCTTTTGTTGCTGTTGTTGTAATAAGGTGTCTTTTGGTGCTGTAATATGGTGCCTTTTGTTGCTGTTGTTGTAATAAGGTGTCTTTTGTTGCTGTTGCTGTAATATGGTGTCTTTTGTTGCTGTTGTAATATGGTGTCTTTTGTTGCTGTTGTAATATGGTGTCTTTTGGTGCTTTTGTTGTAATATGGTGTCTTTTGTTGCTGTTGTAATATGGTGTCTTTTGGTGCTTTTGTTGTAATATGGTGTCTTTTGTTGCTGTTGTTGTAATAAGGTGTCTTTTGGTGCTGTTGTTGTAATAAGGTGTCTTTTGGTGCTGTTGTTGTAATAAGGTGTCTTTTGTTGCTGTTGTTGTAATATGGTGTCTTTTGGTGCTGTTGTTGTAATAAGGTGTCTTTTGGTGCTGTTGTTGTAATAAGGTGTCTTTTGGTGCTGTTGTTGTAATAAGGTGTCTTTTGGTGCTGTTGTTGTAATAAGGTGTCTTTTGTTGCTGTTGCTGTAATATGGTGTCTTTTGTTGCTGTTGTAATATGGTGTCTTTTGTTGCTGTTGTAATATGGTGTCTTTTGGTGCTTTTGTTGTAATATGGTGTCTTTTGTTGCTGTTGTAATATGGTGTCTTTTGGTGCTTTTGTTGTAATATGGTGTCTTTTGTTGCTGTTGTTGTAATAAGGTGTCTTTTGGTGCTGTTGTTGTAATAAGGTGTCTTTTGTTGCTGTTGTTGTAATATGGTGTCTTTTGTTGCTGTTGTTGTAATATGGTGTCTTTTGGTGCTTTTGTATTGAGTCCTCGTGTGAGTATTTTTTGTTGTTGTCATGAGGTGATTTTATGTCTTTTGTTTTTGTTGTCATGAAGTGACCTTATGTGTCTTGTTTTTGTTGTCATGTGCTGATCTTATGAGTCTTTTGTTTTTGTTAAACCCAGTCACGATTACAGCCACATGTTCATGAGGCTGAAGTCCTGTATAGCTTCGTGCTCAGTTCCATTAAATAGTCTGATGTTGTTGCTTTATGTGCAAGCTGCTATGTAGCTGCTATATTATGAGTTCGAAGTGAGTGGGGTGGAAGTGAGTGGGGTGGAAGTGAGTGGGGTGGAAGTGAGTGGGGTGGAAGTGGGTGGGGTGGAAGTGAGTGGGGTGGAAGTGAGTGGGGTGGAAGTGAGTGGGGTGGAAGTGAGTGGGGTGGAAGTGAGTGGGGTGGAAGTGAGTGGGGTGGAAGTGAGATCATCCCACTCAAAGGTCGAATTACTGACCCCGTCCAGGATTACTGACCCCACAACAAGTTGACTAACTCCTAGAGAACATACATACTGCTAGGTGAACAGATTAATTAGGTGAAAGGAAAGTGGCCCAACTATTTCTGTCCCTCCCGGGATATTATAGTCACTAAAATACTGAGCCTCTTCCTTAAGATGGTGTTGAGTTAATATGATGAGAGTAGTAAATCTACCTTAACGTATGTCAGCTGAAAAAAAGTAATTTATGCTTCTCTGCCTCACTTCGGGGCGCCTGATAGCTAGGTGAACAGCGCTTCGGATACGTAGTCCTGAGGTTCCAGGTTCGAACCCCGGTGGAGGCAGAGACATATGGGCAAAATGTTTCTTTCACCCTGATGCCCCTGTTACCTAGCAGTAAATAGGTACTTGGGAGTTAGACAGCTGCTACGGGCTGCTTCCTGGAGGTGGAGGCCTGGTCGAGGACCGGGCCGCGGGGACACTAAGTCCCGAAATCATATCAAGAACCTCAAGATAACCACACTTAAATTTAGCTTCTTAAGGTTCTCGTCGTCTCAACTTCCTTGCAGGAGTTTCTAAGTTGCATGTTTAAGGCAGCGAAAGTTATTCAAAACATCTGGAGAAATTATAGACGAAGAGTCACAATAACGCGGCTGAAGATATGGGGCCAGATTCACGAAGAAGTTACCCAAGCACTTACGAACGTGTACATCTTTCCTCAATCTTTGACGGCTTTGGTTACATTTATTAAACAGTTTACAAGCATGAAAACTTCCCATTGAACGATTTTTATTGTTATAAACATCCTCCTGGTGCTTCGGAGCTCATTAACTGTTTATTAATTGTAAACAAAGCCGCCAAAGATTGAGAAAAGATGCACAAGTTCGTAAGTGCTTGCGTAACTACTTCGTGAATCTGGCCCATGGTGACGAAACTCCACAACCGAAGATGAAGGCGACGTTTCGGTCCTTCTTGGACGATTATCGACTTGATAATGGTCCAGCATGGACCAAAACGTCTTCGTCTTTTCATCATCTGGTGAGTGATTTGGGCATTTGGAGAAATTATACGTTTAATAGAAAAACACATTAATAACAATACCAATATCGCTTCGTTGACTATACACTTCCTATACATGCCGTGTCACGTATATCATCGATTATATAAATACATATACATGTATATATACATGTATATCACTGACTATACAATACCTATACATGCTGTATCATTGTTCTGATCTTGTGCAGTTTAGCAAACAATGACTTTCCTCCAATTTCCTCTTCACTAGTTACGAAATTTAAACACATAAGTCTATCACGTGATGTCTTGAGTAAGTTTGTGTCCCAGTTGAGTAATTGTGTCCTGAACTACACAAGGTGTTGAGTAGATGTATCCTGAGCCACACTAGGCGTCGAGTAGATGTATCCTGAGTTACACTAATCGTCGAGTAGATGTATCCTGAGCCACACAAGGCGTCGAGTAGATGTATCCTGAGCCACACTAGGCGTCGAATAGATGTATCCTGAGCCACACTAGGCGTCGAATAGATATATCCTGAGCCACACTAGGCCTCGAATAGATGTATCCTGAGCCACAATAGGCGTCGAGTAGATGTATCCTGAGCCACAATAGGCGTCGAGTAGATGTATCCTGAGCCACAATAGGCGTCGAGTAGATGTATCCTGAGCCACAATAGGCGTCGAGTAGATGTATCCTGAGCCACACTAGGCGTCGAATAGATATATCCTGAGCCACACTAGGCCTCGAATAGATATAACCTGAGCCACACTAGGCCTCGAATAGATATAACCTGAGCCACACTAGGCCTCGAATAGATATATCCTGAGCCACACTAGGCCTCGAATAGATATAACCTGAGCCACACTAGGCCTCGAATAGATATAACCTGAGCCACACTAGGCCTCGAATAGATATAACCTGAGCCACACTAGGCGTCGAATAGATATAACCTGAGCCACACTAGGCCTCGAATAGATATATCCTGAGCCACACTAGGCCTCGAATAGATATAACCTGAACCACAGACAAAGGTGAGTAACGTAATCCCTGAGTTACATAACTCAGACGAGAGCTCCACAGTGCTTTTTGTTCCAAAGTGTTCCAAGTGTTCCAAGTGTTCCAAGTAAGTTTTCTGATGATCCAATAACTATAATATTTTCAGGAATTTTCTCAAAGTTCCACCCATAGCGCTTCAGGCCACAGACAACAGGCTATTTCCTTTCAATTTCCCCTTCCATTCCGTATTTTAGGTTTTGATAATCAATAAAACCCAAACAGCCCCCATAAAAGGTCCTGTACCAGTGCTGCGCAGTTTCCATACCTTTATTACGAGAGTGGTGCCCCCCGGGGGCTTTTATTGCAGATGCTTTTATATACAGAACTTTTTTTTTAACACCTCGCCAGTTTAGCATGGCTTTTGTAACGCCCAGGAAATTACAACTAGCTGAAGTTTAAAGCTGTTTTTTTTTGTATATAAACTACACTTCTTTTTTCAATGTTGTTCAGGCCGTGAGTATCCCAACGATGGAATTATTTTGAAAGTGTCGCTGACAGCCCAAGGGAAGTGGACGTGTCGTCGTCTCTCAGTAGCCGGGGACGACAACACGGGGATGACAACACGTTTTAATCCACTTCAAATGGAAAATGTGTGTATTTTTTATCCCCCCCCCTCCACAGCGTGCTTGGAGAGTTGAGACGGTAGAGAGAGGCGCCGATACCTGTATTATGTATCATGCCTCGGTCCACGGATTAGAGGAGAGCGGGCCCTAGTGAGGGTGAGGCCCGGGGAGTGTGAGGCCCGGGGAGTGTGAGGCCGAGGGAGAGTGAGCCCGAGGGAGGGTGAGGCCGAGGGAGAGTGAGCCCGAGGGAGGGTGAGGCCGAGGGAGGGTGAGGACGAGGGAGGGTGAGGACGAGGGAGGGTGAGGCCGAGGGAGGGTGAAGCCGAGGGAGAGTGAGGCCGAGGGAGAATGAGGCCGAGGGATGGGTGTGGCCGAGGGAGAGTGAAGCCGAGGGAGGGTGTGGCCGAGGGAGGGTGAGGCCGAGGGAGGCTGAGGCCGAGGGAGGGTGAGGCCGAGGGAGAGTGAAGCTGAGGGAGCGTGAGGCCGAGGGAGAGTGAAGCTGAGGGAGGGTGAGGCCGAGGGAGAGTGAAGCTGAGGGAGGGTGAAGCCGAGGGACAGTGAGGCCGAGGGAGAATGAGGCCGAGGGAGGGCTCACTCCCTCGGGCTCCCTATTCAGATAGGGAGTTCAGTTGAGGGAAATTTTAAAATATGGACTCATGAAGAGGCGCATCACACTTCACCCGTAACAAAGACAGTGAACTGTGCTCGATGAGTAACTCACACCACACGGCTTGTAAACAAGGAGACGGTTTGTAAACAAATAACTTGGAAATTATACTAATTTCAAAGCTCGCTAAATATACAAAATCCGCCCACACTAAGAATCATCTACCATATTAAATGTTAGGATGGAAGGTTAGGCGACAGAGGAGGGACTTTAGGGTAGGGGGTAGGGGTCAATTGGGATAGAGTGCGGGAGGCTGGGATGGAAGGGAAGGGGTGGTGGACAAGAAGAAACTATAAAGGGGGAAAGCGCCAAGCCATTTCTATTAAATAGCACTTGGAAGGGGGCCCAGTATAAGGATTTGGGATGGGAGGGTGGGAAGGAATGATGCCATACCACTTGGACGGCCGGGTATTGAACGCCGACTTGCATGAAGCGAGACCGTCGCTCTACCGTCCAGCCTAAGTGGCTGGACAAGAAACAGTCCACTTCTATCCCCTATCCCTGTCTCATACGCCTTCCCCCCACCTCCTGCCTTCCTGTCTGCCCCATCACTATAACCATTGTTCATACACACTGACGATATTACTGGAACCAAAAGGTTGCATTCAGAATGCAAATATGTCAAGTAAACATATATTTTGAAAGTCAAATTTGTTATTGTTATTACATTAGGTACATCTGCATTTGTGCAGCAACCCTAGATTATATGACGCGGAGTACAGTATGTCAAAAAGCTAGCTACGAGGTGCTAAAAAAATCCCCATCACCCAGGATGGTTAGTCATACATAGGTATGTGATCATTAGTCTGCACTGGCAGACTCTGGGTGCATTATGAGGATAACATCATCAACACAAGAGTGAGTAAGGCAGCAGTGGTACTAAAAGTCCCCCTCCTAGTCATACAGGGCCATATGTTCAGTAGCCTGCACTGGCAAATTTTTGGGTACAATATGAGGATATCTTCAAGAACACGAGAGTGAATAAAGTAATTGCGATGCTACGGGTACCTTATGCCAACCGGTCTGAAAGGTCTAATAACTGGGCATTCGGTGATGTAGTTTGGGAGATCGTGCTGCACTTCCCGCTCACAGAGTTTGCACCTGGAGAGCTCAGGATTGGGAGACCCGTCACCTGCAGTCACCTGCCACAGGTAACGGTAACCCAATCTGATCCTGGCAACCATTGTGTCGCATAGTCTGAAGGACGTTTTATGCTGCCCATACATATAGGTTTCAGATCTGAACAAATCATTGCTTTTTATATTGGTGCATTCAGATCATTGGGAGTTGGTAATTTCTTTCCTATCAG